AAGGAGCAACTAATAATAATACCATTATCTAATTGACTTTAAGACAGGACTATCTCCAATGTTTGGTTCCGTTGTTCGAGCTCTCAATAAAGGAAGAATGGTTTATTGTTTCAAAATGCTCTCTAAACTCAGAAACAAAAATTATTTCAAAAAATCAAAATAAATTACTCTGAAAAACCAACATAAAAATTAAATACTCGAAAAAACAGAAAAAAAAATATTCAGAAAACAAACCAAAAAATCAAAAAATACATTTCAAGTGATGCAATACGCTTCCGTAGATGGGAATAAGAGTTTACATAAAAAAAATACTTAAAATTAAGTTACTTTAGTAGTTTGTGCATGTTCAATACATATTGGGCAGCAAGATACACACCCTGATGTAATTTTTTGAATAAAAAGTTCCTTATATAATTGAATGTTTTCTATTTTAGGTGGAAGTGCACTCTCTCCATTACTCCCTTATCTTAATTATTAAAGAGACTGTACTTTCCAATTATGTCCGTGTTTCCTAAGCAAGATTCTTCAATGTAATGTTGTGTTTTCATCATATAGCTGATATTAATGATCTCCATCCAGTTTCCAGTTTATTACAGTGTTTCGATTCCATTTGGGTAAGTTTATTTTTTAAACATGTATGTCCTGTTCTCGATACTATCTCCACCTTTTTGCCAATAGATCTCCTTAATAAATGTTAATACTGGACCTTTAAATGAAAAATACATAATGGTATGTTACTTTCGATATACTTATTAACGAGTAAAAAGGCATTTTAGTGCAGAAAACTGGAGCAGGGAAAAACAAAAACATCCATAACATAATCTTTAATTATTTGATTGTTTCATGAAATATTCTCTCAAAATAGTAAACAATACAACTGTCATTGAGAGACAAACACTGATCAAGTTTCTTTTTACATCCATGTACATCATAAACTCCAGGCTTTCATACCATTTTAAAAACAAGTCATAAAGCTCACAGAGAACAGTTATCCTACCAGAGGGTATTCTCCTTCTTTGCTTGTCTTCTGGTCTTTGAGTGTGTTGACATTATCAATCTCCAGACTCTGGGCTTGACTCAACTCTAACCCTTGTCCTTGTGGAGGTGGACGCATCTCTGACGTTTCCATTTTTGTCTCCGACTCAACAGTTTTTGCAACAATGACCTGTGTAACTGTAACTTTGTGGTCAGACAGTGGAGAAGAAGAAGAGTGCTTATTGTCACTGGCAGAAGACGAGGGTTTGGTAGGGGATCTGGTGGGCTCAGATAACTCTGTGGACTTTTGTGGTGACACAGAGTCTTTCTTACTTGTTCTTTCCCTTTTTCCTCTGGTAGATCTTGTTGTGATGGTTGGTTCATCCTCTGCAGTCTCGTCTTCCACAGAATCTAAAATCTCATATGTATCCTCCTCGTCCCTGACGAGTTTTTCAGATTCAGTCAGATTCAATGACGTTTTATCGTCTTTCTTTCCTCTTGCACTCCTCCTTCTACCAGACTTTTCTGTGGTGGTGGAATCTTGGACCGGCTGGTCTTCAACAGAATCTACTATCTCAAACACCATCTCCTCAGTGGCCTTTTTGGTATCCCTCTTGGTTGGTGTCTCAAACATTTTAACCGTCCTGTCCTGTTTCTTTGGGGATTTCTCCTCTTCACTTCTGGATGCTGTGGTTGTGGAGCCACTCCTTTTTGATCTATCATCTTTTCTAGCAGTCCCTTCCCGTTGCTTGGTCCTTTTTTGCTTGTCTGACTCTGACTCTGTAGTTGTTGGCTGATCTAACTGGTCACTGGAAGTTTCAGTTTCATCTTCTGTTGCAGTCTGGTCTTCAATTGAGTCCAATATTTCAAAGGCTTCTTGTTCAGTAACATCACAGTCAGGGTCTTTTAAAGTATGTTCATTGTGACAGTCTGGAGGAGGCTGGTCTATTTTTGTTTCTGACTCAACAGTTTTTGCAGCAGTGCCCTCTGCTGACAGTTTGTGGTCAGACTTTGCCACTGTGCCCCCTGTGGCTTTCGCTTCTTTTCTAAGTGGCTCCATGTGAGTATCCACTGATGCCGCAACAGATGTTTCTGATCTAATCTTTTCCCTTTCACATGCAGCGGAGGACGAACGGGTACTACGAACAGAGTACACATTATTTGATGCTTTGGATGGAGATTTTGTCTTGCTCTGTTGTACTTTCTGACCGGGGGAGGAAGAGGTTTCAGTAGAGAATGGAGAAGAAGAGGAGGGCTTCCTGACATTGGAAGAGGACAAGGGTTTGGTAGGGGATTTGGTGGGCTCAGATGAGTCCTTTGACCGTTTTGGTGACACAGAGGTTGATTTAGAAGTGCTTGAGCCTTTAGTTGACTTGGACAATGAGGATGAGCTCCTAGAATCTCTTGAAGACCTTGTTGAAGCCTGTTTGTCACCAGCCAACACACTTGAGCTTTGCCTCTCTCTTCTTGCTCTGGAGGAGGATGAGGAAGTGCTACAAGGCTCAGGGGTTGTGTCTTCTACATCATCCCCAACTTCATCAACAGTGACGAAGTCCTCCATGTTGAAATTTTGCTCATCGAAAAGATAGGCATCTGAAGAAAAGGTGTCAGCTGTAAAATCATCCTGAGTATCCTAGGACAAAGAAATTTAATCAGTATAGAAAAGGCAGTTAGGTAGTTGTTAAACTATTAGTTTATTGGATACATTTGTTTAATTAACGGGGAGTAGTGTAAAGGAATAGGGAGAACTGTCAGAGAAAAACATATCAGGGTTGATGGTCCAATTATCTGCTGAAACAAAAGGGTAAAATAAGGCATAAAGAAGTTATTACCATTCTTTGAGGTGTCTCTTCAGCCGTTGCAGTTTCAGAGCTTGTGTTGTTTTTGCTGAGGCTCTAAAAACACAAAACAGTTAGTTTTCCGGAATTACTGACATGCAAATAAATTCTGAACTGCATTTAACTTGACATTTTTGCAATGAAAAGACAGTTTTGCCAATTATAATTTTGTTGAGTGAGAATTAAAACAAGGCCTCACCTCGTTCTCCTGACTCTGGGACCTGCTACTTTGTGCGAGTTTGTGCTGGTGAACAGCTGCCGTGAGGGCCTGGACAATGTCGGTGTTAATCTCAGGAAGTTCGGCAAACTTTTCTTCAGGCAAGAACGCTGTGGCTGAAGCGGTAGAGCTGGAAGCAGCAGTGGCTGTGTTTCCACTGTCGCCTGCAGAGGTCACATCAGCAGGAGCAATTGAAGTTATTAGTGACCCCTCGTCCTCCTTTACTTCTACTTTCTCTACAGCTTCATTTGCGTCAGGACCGATAGTGGAATCCATGGCGATCTCAGTTGCTGGTTTCTCACCATCCTCCTCCATTTCTACAACGTTTGTGGCGGTAACATTTGCTCCTTCTGTGATTGGCTCAGAATTGGCAGATCCACCAAGGCCACTGGCTTGCAGAGCTGGTTGTGACCCATTATCCGAAGGTTCAGTAAAAGGAGGCTGGGTTTGACATTTCACAGCTGGGGGCTCGGGCACGACATTGATGGTGTCGCTTTCAAAGTTTATTGTGATCTCACTGGCATCATCTAGTCGCTGTTTAAGGCTCTTCAAACTAAAATTAATAACAGAAAAGGAAATACAAGTTAATTGTCCAGCCATCTATATCAGCAAGTTGAGTGTTTTATCACTTTTCTTGTCCTGTAGAACCTTTAGGGCTGCAAGTAACAATTATTTTCATTATCAATCCATCTGCAGACCATTTTCTCAATAAATCGATTATTTTGTGTCAGTAAAATAGTGAAATTCTCTGTTCAACATTTCCCTTCTTAAATCCTTGTTGAAATGTGTTTCCAAAAATGAAGCATATTTAGTTTACAATGATTTAAAAAGAGAAAACTTGCTAGTTTCCTGACATTGGAGAAGCTGTTACCAGAGAATGTTTTGCCATTTTTGCTTTACAAATTGCTTAAATGATTAAAACATATTTGCTCATTCATTTTCTGTCAATTGACTAAGCAACTAATCTCATCTTGAACTCTTAAATGGGACTTGGGGCCACCAGCTATCTTAAAAAAATACACTCATCACAATGATTACTGTCATACTTTTGGTAACTTAAACATGTCTATAACTGGACAAGAATCAATTACAAATGGATATACTCACGTTTCAAAACGCTGAACTTTACTCCTGCAGAGAGAAAAAGAAGAAAGTATTGAGTTTAGGTGTGATGACACATACAGAGGCAACCTGCTTTCATAAAAACTGTGTGCTGAAACTACAAATTACAAAACTAATTTAACCCAAACACATGCATACCAAATAGTGCGCTTTCTAAAGCAGTCCGGTGAGAAGGTTTTGCATTTCTCCACCACCTGCGTTACACCACTGGAGTCAGCCATCTCAATGCAGATCTAAGTGGAGAGACAGATGAATGAAGTGACGGGACAGAAGCAACAAACAGAAAGCAAAAAGCCATAAGAATCCATTATAAGAAGTTAAATATATAGTGTAACATTTGACACAAACTTAAACACTTTCTACAGAGATGTGTCCATCGCAGCAAGAGTTAAAAACTGTCCAGTGTCTTGTCATATTTGTGTTACTTTTTGGTCAACATTGGCACTAGAATCCAAAATGTTCAAATTATCAGTAAACCTAATGGTTTTCAGAATGGCTGTAATATAATCCACAAGCAACATTTCTATAATGTTACCCAAAAAGTCTGACATTTTAAGACCTTTTTAATACAACACAGATTTAAATTGAATACACATTTCATGCTTATATTGGTCAAAGAATGGCAGCTACATATTTAAGACCTTTTTTAATTAATTTTAAGACGTTTAAATACCCTTCTAAAGCTTCTAAGACTTTTCAACACTCTGCAGATACACTGACACGGCGGCTCTCCCAACATTTAAAAATGTAAGAAGCAGGCGTTTGTGTTCTTGTACCCTGTTGGCGAGCGGCAGGAAGCCGACGAAGGTTGCGATGGACGACACCACTTCCATAACCATCCTGACGATGTCCACAGACATTTCAGAAATCTCCACACACAGCAACCGCTCCTCCAGAGACTTTAGCTCAGGAACTCCCTGAAGAGCCAGAAACAGTCGGTGGTGAGGCCCAGAGATAAAAATATATCAGCTTACATTTAACTAAAGATTCACATAAATTACTAATAATAATAATAATAATCCTAATACATTTTATTTATAAGCGCTTTTCTAAATACCCAAAGACACATAGTAAAACACTAAAAACACATCAGACTAAGCTAAACATTAAAAGCAATTTTAAAAAGGTGAGTTTTTGTCAGAGATTTGAATGTTGGAAGGTCGGT